GGGCTGCACTCAGCGCCTGACGTCATCCTAGTTTGCCGACAGGCCAGAGTCTCCCCAGGGTCGCTTGCTAGTTCTTAAATTCAGAGATGCATTTCCTGTCTCTGGGACTGGGACTTTGGGAGGGTTATAGTTACTCTCGGGCATTTTCTGGGACCTACTCATGTTGGAATACCCCTTCACAGACACAGAGCATTTGATCGACAGTTCCTGAGTGATTCAGAGCTCCCAGTGTGAGAGCATTTTCATGCAGCAGGCCACATACAAAGAATATCATGTGCTTCCCGAAACCTCACAACAAACAAAGTTACCCCACTTTCCACTTTCGCGGCCTTGTAAAAGGAGGCACCACAAAGACGTTTTGTAATTCACCCAAAGGACCCCAGGGAGCCTGCGGTTTGATAGGGTTCAGTCTGTTTTGCTCTCTGATCGCCACAGACAGCAATGCTTAAAGGGTAGCTCAGAAGGGATCCACAGGGTGTGGTCAAATATATATCTTCAGGAAACAAGAAATTCAGGCAGGGTGTTGTTGGAACAGCTCCCTCCTGTCTTTCCAAGGCGTCTTATGACTCCTGTTTCTTTTCAACAGATTTATCCTGTGAATCGCCTTAGCTTAGTAAACCTGGTCTTTTCTTTGCGTTCTCAGGGTACCCTGATCGAGGAAGAGAGGTCCTGGGTGACAAAGGCAAGCCAGACAGGCTAAGCACCTCTGATTCAGAGGGTGGATAATCTGCCCTGAACCCTGGAATTGGGAGGGTTGGGATCACGCCCCTTCCTCCCCACGGGAGTCTTGTTTGGGAAATACAGTGGGTAACAAACAGAAAGCTTACATGCTCACTGTGGCACACACTGTGCTCTTTTCACACAGGGAGGGGCAGAGGATGAAGCTCACAGGACTATGCAGCCGGAGTCTCAGGTGTTTTGCTGTGGCCTTTGATAGCAAACAGAAGGAAAACTCCATCACTGCAGTCATCTTCCTGGGCTGCCTCTCTTGCCTGAATGCCTGTTGGGCCCTTCTCTCTCTCTCTCTCTCTCTCTCTCTCTCTCTCTCTCTCTCTCTCTCTCTCTCTCTCTCTCTCTCTCTCTCTCTCTTCTCTCTTCCTGTCTTCATTCCTTTCTTCTTTCTCTTTCTTCTCTCTCTCTCTCCTGTCTATCTTCCTTCCTTCCTTCCTTCCCTCCTTCCTTCCTTCTCTCTCTCTCCCTCTCTCTTCTTCCCCAATAGGATTGGATTAGACAGCCACTGTCACGTGTCAGAAGTTTATCTTTAGCATGTCTGTAGCAACCTCATTTTCCAACTAGGTCTCACACGCAGTGCTGGGAGTTAGAACGTCAACACTACCCATCATAGCGATTCGTCTACTTTCTCCCCAAACAAGCCCAAGCTTGGATGTCTTTGTGTGTCTGTTGTTAATAATGCTACCTTGGACAATGGCTGAGAGAGCAGCCTGAAGCCAGAATGCAATGTGAGGCCCTGGTATGGACTAGAGCAAAGCCTGGGCTTTAACAGGAATTTAAATCCCGAAGTTGTCATTTTAACCTAGCACATTCAATGGCTCAGATGACCTTGGTTGTCCCAGTCTGGGGCTCTGAGTGGCTGACCCATGGGCCTGTGTGTACAGGGGTGCACACATGTGTGTGTCGTGTGTACATGTAAATGTTCACACATGGTGTTGGAAACAGTTCTGAGAACTATCTCTTCATTACCTTTCAGATACAATTCTCCTTTTATTTCTTCTATAATTTTTTCACACAATACATTCTGGTTATGGTCTCCCCTCCCTCAACTCCTCCTAGATTCCTTCTCCCTCCTTCTGTTTTTACAGGGTCTCACTGTATAGTCCTGGCTGGTCTGGAACTCTCTCTGTAGACCAGGCTGTCTTACAGAGATCTGCCTGCCTCTGTCTTCCGTGTGCTGGGTACTGATGCAATTACTCTGACCTTGACGGGCTCCGATATTTCCCCTCCTCACGTTTTCAGACATGTCCCCACAGACGCACCTTCAGAGAGCTTCCTACTCAAGGTCAGCCTTGCATCTCCCCAGGCCCCCTGGTTCCTAGGAAACAGTTTCTTCCGTTGGTGCTGAGGTTGCGTGCAGACCCCGCACTCTCTGGCCAGCATCATGACCCCTATCTGTCAGTTGGAAGCAAATGGCACTTGTTAGACTCTTTCCCAACGTCCTCAGGTTGAGCCGTCTGAGTACTTAAATAGCTTTTTCATGCCTAGTATTGCCCCACCTGCTACACTTTGATGGCTTGTTTACCTGTGAAACTGCTGGCAGGCTAACTTGTGGGTCTCATGCAGAACAGAAACGCAGCACCCCTTATTAAAAAGTTATTAATAATTTCGAGACGGCAACAGAAGACAAGCCAGGTAAATGTGTGTCTCTCCTAGTAGTGTGGTCCTTGCAACTGGCCCTGTCCCTTTGCCTGGTACATGGAGGTGGTCCTTGATGCCTGCCACTCAGCAGACATTGGCTGAAGGAACGAACCAGCACAAGAGTAAGTCTGATGAAAGTCGGTCATTTTGTGAGAGACAGTGCAGTTTAACTGAAGCCGAGGTGAGGGGAAAGCGTGGCGGTGTTGGGTTATTTGTAATAACAAATAATGACACTGTGTGTGCATGCGAGACTTCTCACCCTGAGAACACTTTCAAAACACTAATTAACCCTTACAGAGGCACCAGTGAAACCGACACCCCAAGGGGGATGTAAGGCTTGCAGGGTTTAATTACCAATGCTACAGTTTGGCACACAGCTAACAGTCCTCCTAGCGACTGCCTCTCGGTACAGACAGTGAGGCGCACGGGGCCTTGTTTCCAATGCATCAGTGGAGAAGGATGGATGCTGCCTTTTGAGGAATCTGACGGTATATGGTGTGTGTGTGTGTGTGTGTGTGTGTGTGTGTGTGTGTGTGTGTGAAGCATCTGAAGGAGGGTCGTATTTACCCACTCCTGAGTCGCCTTAAGATCTGGGATCTTAAATCCATCTAAGGGTGGCCATGAGAACAGGATGGGCTCATTTTGAACAGAGATGTGTCCAGTTCTGGGAAGCCACCTCTGCCTAACCAGAATTTTAAAAGATGCTAGCTAGCCAGGCGTTGATGGCGCACGCCTTTAATCCCAGCACTCGGGAGGCAGAGGCAGGCGGATCTCTGTGAGTTCGAGGCCAGCCTGGTCTACAGAGGGAGTTCCAGGACAGGCTCCAAAACAATACAGAGAAACCCTGTCTCAAAAAACCAAAAAACAAAAAATGCTAACACACAGGTGGGATTTCTTGGGATCTGGAGCTGTATTTGGCTACCGGGAGAGGACTCTCTCTACATCGTGGCGGTGAAGAAGGCTTGGACAGTGACAAAGAGGGCATAGCAGGTACAGTGTGACAGAGCAGGGGCTCTGCACCCAGTGCTCCGAAGTAGAAACGCTCAAAGGAGTTCCGTTGGAAGGCGGCTGCGCATAGGCGTGTCCTTTCGAAAGGGGCACTACGGGAAGGGGATGAAGTAAAGGGGTAACTTCCTAGAGGAGGACCGTGGCAGACTCTTGCCCAGCCAGGCGACAGAGGCCAACGGGGAGGTGGAGATGTCTCTGCCACCAGTTTCATTTGAAGCCCCCCCCCCCACACACACAATGTGAAAACAGTAGTCTCTGGGCGGGTCCCATCCCTCTCATCAGAAGCCGCTATTCCGGTAACCTGGGCTCCTTACCATGCCCTGCCAGTGCCCACAGGCAGCCCAGGCCCAGGTTACTCCTTCTTACCACCCCATTCACTTCCATTCCTGATGCTGTCTGCAGTCTTTCCCCAGACTGTCCAAGGCCGGCCGCGTGTCCCGCTGGTGGCTGGCACGCAGTAGGCTTTCCAGGGTGGTTTGTGGCGGGATGGTCATCTGGGCCATGTAGAATCAAGACAGAGATAACAGTTTTCGTGGGAGGAGGGTGAGGAGAGGACTAGTCTTAGAAATTTCTCAGTTTACATAAATGGAGCCTACAGGTTAGACACACACTTTCCATGTCATTTTGCAGATTGATTTTTTTCCTTTTTCCATTGTTGTGCATGTTCATGTGTGTGTGTGTGTGTGTGTGTGTGTGTGTGTGTGTGTGTGTGTGTGTGTGTGTGGACTAAAGGATAACCTTGACTATTGCTTTTTAGCCTTGTTGGAAGCCTGGAACTTGCCAAGTGTGCTAGGCGGACTGGCCAGCAAGCCCCAGGGACCTGCCTGTTTCCACATCTCCAGAGCTGGGAGTGTAAACCTAAACCACACCCGGTTTTTTATGTGAGTTCTAGGAGTTGGAGTCAGGTCCTCATGTTTGCCTCACGAGTGCCAGGTCTCTCTGAGCTCTTCCTGGGTTTTAAAGAGGAATTATAACACGCCCTCAAGCTCCCTTATGCCTAAGGAACCCACCCTGGGTGCCCGCCCTACTCCCCAGCATTCGTTATGTCTTAGCGGGCAGGGAATGTTAGAAGCACTCGGGAAGGGCTCAGCCTTGAACTTGAAGTGGTTTGTGGGAAACGTTTCCACAGCGTGATTTAGTGGGCTCTGCCCCACATTCGTCTCAGAAATAGACGGGATCGATTTGATAGGACGCAGGCTGCGGGAGTGTTTATGTGCCAGCCATATGGGTTCTGGTACTGGAGTTACAGAAGGAACTGCAGAACAAAGAAAGGAAGTCTTCAGTGGCTTTGGGCCTTGCCTGGCTGTGCATGATCGATCCCCAGGGGAGGGACACTGACTCACCGCTTGAGGGCAGTGGCGATGGGTTGCATGCTTTTCTGGCCTACAGAGAACGGTTCTGGGACATTTTATTCTCTCTTACTGTGTGTCTTAGCATTTGCCCCTGACAGAGCCCGCCAGGAGATGTTCTGTATGTTAGCGCCAGGGAGAAGGAGCAACATGCACTGGCTTTAGGATGCCTCGTGACCACGTCCAACAGTTGCCACTCCAGTGGGCAATAGCTGGCGTCTGAAGAGCTGCGGCTGTCTGAGTTTTTCCCACACACATACTTTGCTGTCATTTCAGTTAGGAAGTTTATTTATTTATTTTTCCCATTGATCTTTGCATATCCAGGGTAACAGAAACATCCAACAGTTCATTTGGAGATTTCTCTCTCTTTTTTTTTTGCACATTCATTCCTCCTAAAACATAAAGTGAACTTAAAAAAAATTGGAACCATGCTGTTTATTAGCTGTTTATAAAAAGTGAATAAGAAGTAGCTTGTTGTTTTTTTTGAAAGTCTAAAATGAACAAGTGGAGAGAAGCATTTTCTTCTACAATATTTAGCGAACATAAGAAAAAGTCCTTAGAAACGCACACAAAAAGTGAGAAAAGTTACTACAGGCATTAACAATATTTTATAATGAAGCTTGAAATCTATTTACATACATAAATACAATTGAGTTTATTGATACAACTTCTTCTGAAGAAAAAAATAAAAGACAAATGATCAGTGTTGCCAATACTGACCTGGCAGACAGAGGGAAGGCACCCAACAAGCAACCAACCAAAACCCCCAACAAAGGTATGCCGTAGAGTAAACAAAAGGTATTTTGTTCAGATGTGGAAAAAATATAGTCCGAGATTGTTGTCAAACCATTTATTTTCTTGTATAAAAGACCCTAAACATTTCATGCCTCCCTCCCCCCACACAAACAAAATTAAAAGAACCAAAGAAAACTATCAAAACCAAAACAAACCCCTAGGACTGAATGTCCCAGGGAAAAAGGTATTTCAAGAAAGAAATCTGCAATCACCAACTACAGGCTGTTTGAGGGAAAGCGTCTGTCCCTTCCAGTCTGAGCTTTTCTGTTTGTTGGCTGCACAGGACGTGTGGGCAACAGTGCAGCCATGCAGCATGGATTGGGATTTACAGAGGTCTCTGCCGCTGGGTTTGGACAGCAAGCAGATCCAACATGGCTGGCAACACCTCTGCTCTGTTGTTAGAAATACATGAGCAAGAGAATAGCTGACTCACACTCTTCTTTATGCAAAATTGAGAAGAACTAGACCATCTGTGTCTGGATACTTGGTATGGGATAGGGTGTGTGTGTGTGTGTGTGTGTGTGTGTGTGTGTGTGATGCCTCCTTAAAAAGTATGCAGGAAGGAGAAGGTGAAGTTTGCAGGAGAGAGGAGAAGAGATAGAAGAGATACTGGAGGACACAGAGGGTGGGAAAAACAGAAGAAACTGAAATATGTGTTTGAATCATAAATAGGGGCTTGAGTAAGTAGTAGAAATGGTTTATTCCAGTTTTCTCTTCCTGGACCAGTATTCCCAAACAGCCCCACCTGATCTCAGAAGTGGCTTGTGGGTCTTACCTGGAGACAGTGAGTGAAGTCACCTTGATGCACCTGAAATGAATACAATTTCTCAGGTAGAAAAATATGTGCCATATGAAATCTGTCTCCAAGACAAGGAATGCTTGATTGATGCGTTTTTCTGAAATGACTAAATACTGTGCATGCTGATAAGGGTTTGGGAAGCGCTGAGCGGCTAGCCAGGCCATCTTCAACCAAGTGACAAAGTGACAAGCCTTGTGCCTGGTATCCAGGGCAAAGATTAGAAGTGTGAGACTGTCCCGTGCTTCTTGTAGGGCTAGAGTACCTCTAGGCATCAGAATTAATATAAAAAAATATAAATCTTCTTCCTTTATCTTTCCCTAGCGTTTTCTCAGTCCAGATATGGTAACCTATGCTAACGGGAGCATCTGCTTTTGGAGAAATAAACTAATGATCCTTTTTCAGAAATTAGCATTTTGTTTTCCTAACAGCCGAAGACAGCTTAGCTGTACAATGGACTGTGGGACAGCTGAGCGAAACTGAATGGTGGAGAAAGTTATGTCCCCTCTGAAAATCTAGCCGAGTTTCTCCGAGATCTCCGGTAGCTCTTCTCCTTAAGAACAACCTGAAAGTACAGGCTAGTTAGTCACCCCCCAAAGTGCTGCTGCTCCGTGTAAAACAAAGAATCAATATATAGATATAGATATAGATAACTCAAAAACAAGTTGTATTTTTTAAATAAGTCCAGCTGTTTTTGCTGCCTGCAGCCAAAGATCTAATCTGAATGCTTAAATTTATAAAATAATAATAAAAAAATCCAACACTGTTCTGAAGTCCTGCTTTCAAACGCTCTTCAGAATTGACCTGACATCATTTCAACTAATTTAAGAGGTACATTAAAAACAACCAGATCATTTTGAGCACACACATATGTCAAAATCAGCAGTTAGGATTTATAAGTTGTGGAACAACTGAATTTTGACCAAGTCCCTCCACTATAACAACAGTGCTGTTACATTTACAGTGACTGTGGTATACATTTGAACCGTAGCGTGGACCGCAGAGACACGGATCTTTCTTATGCTGCTGGCCCACAGATAAAGTGCACTAACCCCAAAGGTTAGGGCCTCAGCCTGGTGGGAGTCACTCAAAGGTACTGGTGAGTGAGCAGCTTCCGGGACGCGTCCTGCACTGGTTGACAAGGCATCTCCCACAACTGATCCCTCCCACTAACGTAGGTAGAGGGAAACTGGCTCCTTCAGGCATTTTGGGGTACACTCTCTTAAAACCCAGCCATTGGCCCTCAAAGGCCCCTGGTATTACCCCTTCTATTTGGATCTTTGGAGTGCAGCCACGAGTTTTGGTTTTCATCGAAGAACAGGAACTATCATTAAAGGATCTTATTCATTGTTTTGGGGCCCAATGGCCTACCCAGACGAGCTGTTATACTCATGCCTGAATCAGAAGGCCTTGGGGCAAGCTTACCTCCAGGCGGAAATAAAATCCACTTCCTAGATGTAACCATTGGCACTTCTCTGAATCCTTTGGGGGAGCAGAGTTTTGCCTTTCCTTTTGAAGGGAAGGAGCCAGGTACGAGGCCCTAGGTTGAGCCTGGCAGAAAATTTTGATCCTTGGAGTGACCCTCAGTGTCTAAAATCTGATTGAAAACATTGCTGCGTTAGCTACCAACTTGTCTGAATAACATAAAAGGGAGTTTAATGTAAACAATATCTCTAGGTAACCAAGCGATCACATAAACCCATCCATTTTTTTCCAGCCATCTTCAATGCAATAACATTTAACTTTGGCTATTATAAAGAAAAATGTAGTACTTGATATTTTTTCTTAATATAAGTACATTTAAATAATTAAAAAAGTATCAACACATGTAAATGTTCAAACATCGAGATACATAAATATCTAGGGATTTCTTTGTGGAAATACAGTAGTTAAAAAAATGACCCAAAGCTGTAGCTGTCTCTTAAAAAAAAAACAAACAATAAAAGAAACAAAAAAAATCCCAGCTACATTAAAGTCCAAAAGTTAAATAAAACGTACAGAGAAAGGAACCGCATTTCTTTCAGTTGGTCAAAGGAAGAAAGAAGCAAGCTCAAACCTATACATATCCAAAAATAACGACCACCCAGATGCAAAAACACACATTTTCTTTTTTTGCAATTGATAAGGTGCGGAAAAGAAACTCCGAAATAAGAAATAGATGTCAAACAGGATGTCTTCCCCGCCCCAATCAAAAAAAATTTCCACTCTTTGGAATAAACAACGTGGTTAAAAAGTGAAGTCAAGGGTATAAAATCTTTCTTTTATTCACAGCATTGCTAAATCAGGAGCATTCACAGTTCCCCTCCGGGGATCTTCCTGTCGGCCTCCTCCGGGGGCCCTCCTGGGGTGGGGGTGTCTGTGCATGGACGGCGGGTGCAGCCAGGCGGGCTCAGTCCCTCGACGCGCCGTCGGGCGAGCGTGCGGGTGTGCGCTCAGTAGGGCCGCCACACCGCCTCCTCCAGGCGCGCGGGTGGCATGTTGGTGGGCGAGTTGCTGTGGCTGCCCTCGGTCTCCACCACGTCGCTCTGGCTGGGCAGGCTGGGGTTGAGCAGCGCGGCGCCCGTGGACGCGTTGGTGCAGGGCGGCAGGATGCGCGGGGGCGATCGCTCGCCGCCCACCATGGAGAACTGGTAGGAGCCGGCGGACGCGCCGTAGTACAGGTGGTAGGAGGGCGAGCTGGTCTGGAAGGGCCCGGCCTGGGCCTGCGAGGAGCCTGGGTAGGGCGGCGGCAGGTAGGTGTGGTAGCGAGAGGCCGAGCTCATGGCCGACATGCCGATGCCGATGCCCGACGTGACGGGCGGAGAGTAGGTGAAGGCGCCAGGGTAGTGCATGCGCGGGTCGGAGATGGAGGGCAGCGTGGGGAACTGGCGCGGGTCACCGAAGGCTGTCAGGTCCGGGGCGGCTGCGGGTGGGTGGAAGAGATGTCAGTGAGTCTGTGGTCTTAGAGACAAAGGCCTCCCTCTTGCCAGAGTGCCCCGCCCAGGACACACAGGGCTGCCCGGAGTGCCCCTGCGCATGGAGGGAGACCACTGAGATGGATATTTACCCAGAATGCTGCTGCTTCCTAAGCAATGGGGCTATTTGACAGAAGTGGGTTTCAGACAGCAATGCTGTCACTGATAGCGTGAGAACACCTTTTGTGGGAGTCCTGCGATGGCTGTGTCATGTGTCATGACATGGCATACCATATGTATTGCGTAAGTACCCAAACGTCACACGCACAGCAGTGCAATGCAATGTTTGCAATATGCATACATATGCACTCCCAGGTTGGCAAAGCGCAGCCCAGCAGTCAAAGCTGACTGGGGGGAATTAGTATGTCCTAGGAATTGAAAACTGGTTTGGCTTTTTCAAATAGTGGCAAAACTGTGAAAATAAAACCACAAGATTTTTGTTTCTATTTAGCGTTTTTGAGACACAGCCTCAGTCTGTACCACAGGGGGTGGCCCTGTGAATATTTTCATGCGTGACAAGCAGCTCTCACTGCTATTAAGTGACCAGGACAACAGAGCTCTCAAAGCTTAACCATTTCTCTTTGGCCCGATCCTCTATCTACATTAGAATATTAATATTGATTAATACATTAGTAATATAACCAGTACACTGCTATAGCAATATTAATATAACAATATATAATGACATAACATTACAGAAACTGAGGTAATTGGATGCACTTGTATGTTACTAACAGAATATTAACGTCATTGCACATGGTTTTCAGCTTGGATAATAGGAAACTGTCAGTTTTGTAGGCGCCGACCCTTTGGAAGTTGGCTGATTTCCTATCATGGATGCATGCTGTGGTAGTGACAGTGTCACTTGCCTATGTGTCTGCCTTCTGACTCGTCGCACATCTGTATCACAATTTCATGTCTTTATCTGAGGCCTGCTTCACCGTTTTCTTTCCACAGAGGCTGGAAGAGGGTGCCAAGTCCCCTGGAGCTGGAGTTACCCATGACTGGGAGCCACACTACAGGAGAGCTGGAACTCGAACCCAGTGCTCTGCAAGACCAGTGCGCGCTCTTACCCACCCAGCTGTCTCTCCAGCTGCTGCTTCCCTAGAGTATTTTTGTTTACCTATTTTTATTTTTACACAAATGGATCTAAGCACTTGCCGATCAGCTTTTCCCATATGCTGACTTTTCGCTGGAATGACAAAGTTTCCTTTCAAGGCGCATACTGCTGGGGATGAATTGACAGTTCTACAAACTGCCACTGGGTGTCCTCCTGTGGTTCGCCCGTGGGTCCCCCTGTGCCGCCCTCATGTGCACACTGCCTTTGAGGCAGACCGGGGCGGAAATGAGGGCCAGCATGACTTCCCTTGCAGATCAGTTTACCAAAGGTGGCACTCCTGCCATTTTTTTTTTTGTTTGTTTGTTTTTGTTTTCTGAGACAGGGTTTCTCTGTATTGTTTTGGAGGCTGTCCTGGAACTCGCTCTGTAGACCAGACTGGCCTCGAACTCACAGAGATCCGCCTGCCTCTGCTTGCCGAGTGCTGGGATTAAAGGCATGCGCCACCAACGTCCGGCTTACTCCTGGCATTTTTGTCCACGTTATTTCTAGTGGGCTGGTTGGATTCTCTCTGACTTACTCCCTGTGAGTTGTCTGGCAACACCTAGGGCCTTTACCCACTAGGGGTCAGTAGTGCTCCCGCCCCCACTGTGACACCCAAAAATATCTCCAGACATTGCCAAATAATCCGGGAATGGGTGTAGGGGGACACACATTCACCCCCTGCTGAGAGCCACCGCTGTGAATCGGAGGGTCTTGGGGGCAGCTTGTGCCCCTTAAAATGAGGTCGTCACACCCATCCCTCCAGAAGACACCAACAAAACAGCAGAGGCAAGAACTGAATGCTCCAAACGTTAAATTCTCAAATCAATTTACAGAATAACCTTAAGCTCCGGTGGCATGTGGTCTGGGCCCTTTTGAGTTGAGCCTGCTAGAGAGAAACTTGAGGGCAACTAAAAGCTTCCTTTGAAAGGAAAACCACCCGGGTGGATTAATCTGGTTTTGGAAGGCATGAGCTGTGATCAACTTCCTTCTACTCCAAGCCTATTATTCCAGCGCGAGAGGTGCTGTTTGTGTTCGCGTTTCCCCCTCCCTCTCTCTCAATAATCTTTTATTGCTCTAACACAATCTCACAAAAGGAACTCTTGTGTACATTTGGGGTGAATGCGAGGGAAAGAGACTCCCCATCAGAGAGGTAATTAGAGTTTATAGAAACAGCCCGAGTCTGCAGCAAATCCCTCTACTAATGAGGAAACCAGGAGTCTGCCTTGCAAACAAACGCCCCTGTTAATGTGTTCAAAGCAACTCAGACATGTGGGCAGGGGAAAGGTTGTGAAGGGGCCGGGTTCTGGGGCTGCCCTGGCTGGGCTGCCCTCCGGCTTCTTCTTCAGCCAGGCCACGCCTCATTCCACAGGGTTCATCCCTGCCCCCTCGCTGGGGCTACCTATGAGCAAGCTCTATGTCACCTATGTGCAAGCTCTATGCTTGCACAGAGAGCCGTGACATGTTTGAGAGTTAACAGGAAGCTTCACTCTATTCTTCTTTTCCCCAGTTAGATTTACACAGTGTAGGGAGAAGCCATGGCAGGACAGAGGGCACTGGGCAAACACAATCAGTTTGTTGTCGTCTGACGCAACACTCGGGACACAAACAAACGACTCTGCCCGCTATCCCTCTTGCTTCATTTGTCCTGAGACAAAAAAGGTGAATCCGCTGGAAAAAGTGAATGAAAGGTCACCTCGTTTCACAGCCATGCCCCAACATGCTCTGCCCGTCTGTTCCGATCACCACACGGTAATGCGGTGATGGCCCCGAGTTACTGGAATCGTGTGAGTCTGTGATTCGTCATGGGTGTGAGCACGGGGGTAATGTTGCAGCCTCAGCTGCTGGGGGCAGGGTCGCTGAAGATCCTGGATAACTAGTGGTGTCTGTCTACAGAAGGTCATGGTCTCCCTTCCCCTCCCTCCCTCTCCTTCCTCCCCTCCTCCTCCCTCCATCCATTTCCGCCTCCTTTTCACACAGTTCGTAATAAGAAGGACTTAGGCCCTCTAGATAGGTTCAAGTGCTCTATTCAAATGCTTGCTTTCATTTATACATAGTATTTACAAGTGTGTGTGTGTGTGTGTGTGTGTGTACATGCATGAGCACAGGTAAGTGCAGCGTGTTTATGGAAGCTGAAGGAAGGAGTCACACGCCCTGTGGTTGGAATTAGGGGCAGCTGTGAGCGCGTTGGTGGGGGCGGGCAGGGGGGGGGCTGGGGAATGAACCCAGGTCCCCTGGAAGAGAAGCAAAGGCTCTCAACCACTGAGACATCTCTCCACTTGTTTTCATTTTAAAATCTGGTCTAGCCTCTCTCAACACAAATCACCAGTCACAAGAATTTATGCACCATCACAGGACAGACAGACAGCTCCTCTATCCTTTTGGCTGGCCTACCCCCATTTCAGTAGCAAAGGCAACTGACCCCGCCCTCCCCCTCCCCACCATTCACTGGGAGATTTTTTTAAAAGTAGGAAGTCTGAGGATTAGAAGGTTCAGGTGTTTTTACTTGGACGTGTATCTGCCATGACAGAGCTGGTCTTGGCTCTCCAGCCTAGCGGCTGAGAGCAGCCCCACTCCAGGCCCCTCCCTCCCACTGCCCCCAGGATTAAACAACCTGAGCAGATAATGCTGCCTTACAAAAGGAGCTTCTGCATGACTCAGGTTAGTGCGAGCCGTCTGTCGCCCAGGTCGGCAGCTAAACATTAATTAACAAAAAGAAAAAGTAGGTTGGGGGGGGGGGGGAGAAAAGGAAAGAGAAGAAGACGAAGGAAGGTAAACCCTCAACGTGACAACTCCTTTCAGACAAGGTGTGGAGTCTGTCTGCAAGGGACAGAGACAGACGGACACCAAGTGTGCGGGAAGGAGGACCAGGCGGGGCTAACGGTGGCCAAAGCACCCAGCGCACCAAGCTGTTGGTTGGCGGAGAAAAGGCCCATCAGCCACGGAGGGGTCAAGTCCGCAGAGCTGTGCGTGCCCCAAGCTTTTCATGGGTCCCAGCCTTCTCCTGCCCCAGGGCTATGCCAACACTTTCCAGGCCTGCAAGGCCTGCGTTCAGTGTTTGATTTCTAGGGGGACCTCTGCCAAGTTGAAGCTCTGTCTCCTAAGCCTGTTCTCTGCCACTCAGGAAAGTTTGTTTGCCGTTCTCCCCGGCAGGCAGCACAGGTCACTTCTGGGTCCCCACACGGTTTTTCCCTTTCTCACATGCCTGTGCCATAAGCGCCCTCTTTCCAGCCTGTGGTGTTGAGGTCAGATCATTATTAAGAACATAGCTGTGATTTGGACATGTTGCCCATTTTATTTTGGGTGATGGTGGCACTGGTGTTTTGTCCATGCTGTAGTGAATGATCCTACACCCATGTGTATACGGGGAGTGACGACTGGGCTTGATTCATTAAAAAAAAATTACAATTTTTTAAAGGACATGGAGTTTGGAGGGAGTTGCTGTGGGGGAGTGGATATGATCAAATCTATCATGTATGCAGTTCTCCAAGAGTAAACAAGAAATATTAAACCCACCCAGGTGTGATTGATGGTGAGCTGGGGCAGCTGGTCCTAGGTGTCCATTTTGGGTGGTGACCAAGCTAAAAGACTTACATAATAAATTTCAAGGGACAGACCCACACTGGGGACATTTCCAAGGAAAACAGTAAGTGCCAGCGGACAGAGCAGTGTCACCGAGACGAGTCTGCGAAAGCTGACAGATGTTACTGGAATCAGACTGTCCCTGAGGGACAGGTCTTTACACTCAGCCAGCTGAACACATGCCATAATTCCTATGTTGCCCTCTTAATTCCTTAGACCATCAGCTCCCACGGAAATGCTGGCACTGATGGCTTCGAGGCAGGTGAACCCTGCGTAAGCTGGCTTGCACAGTTCGAGCAAGTGCCAAGGGCTGGTTGAAGCTTGAGATTCTCCCTGCCCCCAGTTGACAAAAGTGACAATGTCTGGTGACCTTCTTGTGTGTGTTTGTGTGTTCATTTATGAGTACCTGTGTGTATAGATACTTGTGTGTGTGTGTGTGTGTGTGTGTGTGTGTGTGTGTGTGTGTGTAGACCAGAGGCCAGCCTTGCCTTTTGATCCTTAGCAGTGGTCCAGGCAGAGCCTCTCCTTGGCCTGAAGCTCTCTTATTAACCACACTTAGCTTTTACACCTGTGTTCTGGGGAATCACACTCGGCCCCCAGGTTTGCAAAGCAAGTGCTTTACCCAAAGAACCCCAGAGACACTTCTGATGGACAAGACCAGGGCATTTGCTACCGGCATCTAGAGGTCAAGGGTGCTCCTAATATTGTCTGGCACATAGGACAGCCCTGCCCCCAAACAAAACATGATGCAGCCCAAAAAGGTGGGTGCCATTGCTGCTGGGGGAAGACAGGCTGCACCAGCCCGGTGAGTTGGGGCGCCTGGTGATGGGGAAGCTGACCCTCGGCTGGAGTCTTAAGCACTCCTGGCGGTAACCGTCTTTCACGACATTTAAGGCGACAGTCCGGACTCTCTGCCCATCTGTCTTTAAGCGTCCCAAAGCAAAACCCGCCCCTCCCCCAGCACACATGCAAGTGCACCGTGCGGGCCTCCTGAGGGTGAAGCTCTCTCAAGTATTTCACTGTTTGGTTCAGCTCCAATTTCAAAGACCCAAACAAGTAAGTTTCTTCTTTTGCCTTCAACAAAGGAATTTTTTTTCCTGTAACTCTGATTTCCCTGCCCAGGAGCGTAGGTGAGTGCCAAGCCCCAAGGGCTCATAGGTTAAATGACTAATATTTAATGAGCTCGTATTAACAACAATTATGCTAACCATGACACCTGAGCTTTCCATCTTGTTCCTAACCTAGGTCTGAACAGCTCTTAGCTGGGAATGTTTATCTTGGGGCATATCTTTTTTTCCTATTCTAGTATGGACCCCATTGCGCTATACACAGGGACCTGCAAAAAAAAAAAAAGTCACCACCACTGGGAAAGAGCAGCCGCGGTCTAGAATTCAGCTGGTATGTTTTTTTGTTTGTTTGTTTGTTTTGCCAAAGGTACAAAATCCTTAGACCACTTCGACTTTTCAAAATAGTCCTTAGCCACCAACCTTCCCCAACATACATGAGCAAACCCTAAATACCGAAGAGATAGACTGAGACACCTCTGCCTCCTCATCCGTACCCTCTTAGCGTGCCAATGAAAGCCCGTGCTTGTCATGGCACTCTTTCGGAGGCAGGCGACTGTGTCTTTGAACCCTGCTCTGCTCTGTATCCAGCCAGCTCCTTCCCGTCGTCTCCCCTATTCTTCCGCACCTTCCCCTCCAGCCCCACTGCGGACACGTATTCACGCGGCTTACATGAGAGTCGACTGGAGAGCTCCGCGGAGAGGCTCGTCATGCCACTAGCACGCCCAGGAGAAATGGGTGTTGCTGGGTGCACGGAAGAGGAGGTGATGGACCCCAGGTACTGGTAAGACTGATCGTAGGACCATGGTGGGGACGGCTGGATCTGCCTGGCATCTGCAGAGAGACAGGGGTGTTGATAGATGGAGAGGGGTGGAGGTCTAAAAGGTCTTACAGTGACAGCTGCTCATCACTATTCATGTAACAACTATACAGTATGCACATGGCTTGCTTATTTGTGTCTAGTGAACTCCGCAGAATCCAGGTATTTGATGCCTCTGTGGTATGATAGCTCCCCTTAAAGAGGAGCAGTCCGTGTTGGACTTTGGGAGGTTTTATTTGATAATTCCTCCTTCTATATATTTTTTTCATATTAATATTGCGGGTTATGCTGGACTCTAGTAGTACTCAATGGCTTGGTATTCCAAAATGACACATTCAGCTTTACCGATAGTTATAATTATCATAAACAGAAACATTTTATAAGCTCAGATGGTCATCAATGTTCAGGAAACATGAAGGATGTAAAGGGGATCTGGGGTGTAAGGGAACATAGACAGAAAATATTAATGGGCTTATAAAGTTTTCTACTTAAGTAAATGATCACAAATGATAACAAAAGGATAAAAGAAAACATCCCTCCAATCCCCCCCCTGCACGTGCGCGCGGCACACACACACACAAACACACACACACACACACACGAACAGAGGAACACTGGGTGTGAGCTGTCATGATCAGGTCACAGGTCCACCAGTGAGACTACCCCTCCAAACAAGCAGCACTGAGTCTTGAAGTTGGCAGTGCTTTTGCTAGTTTGTCTTATTTTTGTTTGTTTCTCGAAATAGAGTCTCCCTATTCCCTCCTTCCCTCCTGCTGGTCCATTTCTTCCTTTTCTTGAAAACAAACAAAAGAAAACTCCTGAAGATGTAAGTGTTACAGACCTGGTCATTCCTGGACAAACGTTTTTAACTTGGGGTCTTTAGGACCTACTAGTAAAGAGACCACTTGATTTCCTTCCAGATGGTGGGGGATTTGAAGAGATGGCCCAGAAAAGGGAGCTGGTGCACATTAAACTCAGCAGACAGTGTAGGTGGAGCCTTGTGCAATCTTACAGCCAACAGTGTAACAGGGCTGGAGGAGACCAGAGACCACAGACTGTATCTCGTGTTACTGTAAGCATCTTGCTTCACGCATGCATGGGGGACAGCCAAAGCCATACCCTCAGATATGTTCTACAAGATATACTTCTGTTCTCCCTACACGCACTCACCCAACGAGCATATACTACTCAAATGTTGTCGTCACTTAGAAAGCAAACAAAAGAGGTTCTAGAATTGTCGGGAAAGGCCTCCGGGGCGTGAACTGTGCCTTGCTGTGTAGACAGCCTAGCACCCCTAGCCCCGTGTCTAAACCACACTAAGCACAAAGTGGTATGCCATGATTCATGCTCTGTCATGTTTTACTGTAGTGAAAAAGTCATGCTGGGCCTTTTTCTGAGCTCGTAATTAAGTCATGCAAGCGTTGCATAATATTTCACAGCCTTTTAAAAATATGCTTTGGTAGAATGACCTTTATGATTTGAGCCAAAGTTCTGTGCTTTTTTTTTCTTTTTTTTAAACACAGGTTGTAGATTTGGCATCATCTTACTTTCCATTGCGGTGTTCCGTGGGGACAGCATTACAAACCCATCAGCCACCGACCCACCAACCTTTACTTTCCCATCCCAAGGAACTTCCATGGGTCCTTTGTCAATGGTGGCTTCATTCCTTCACTCATTCATTCATTCAAACATCTGCACACTCCTATGCTGGTGAACTTCCTCACTGGCTCATTCATTCACGTTTCCACCGTTTTGCTTCACTAGGGCTCCGTGGTAGGGGCTCACTAGTGAATGGCTTTGCAGTCTCCACCTTCTAAGAGTGACAGTCACTGGAGGATCTAAAGGTTGTATAGAGACTGGCTGCTAAATTAAATGCTAAATTAATTTGGACTTGCAAATGGCTGTTTCCAAGGCAGAGACAAGAACGGTGGTGATATTTGCCTGTGTTCTGCATTGGAGAGCAGCAGAGAAGGAAGGCGTCAGAAACAGGTCTGGGGTTGAACTTTGTCTCTACCGTAAACTAGCTCCAGGCACATCTCATGATCTCCTGTCTACCAAGGGTAATATCAAGGAGTGAGCAAGCTAAAATAAAACAAAACAAAACAACAAAACCCGACAATGTGTGGCCATCATAAATGCTCAATTAGTTTGAGGGATTTCCAGGATTGTACTGCTAAAGGAAATGAATCCCTCCAAGAGACTTGCTGATGCTCGCTGATGCTCGCTGGTAAGGCGACACACACTTGTGGGGCATGGGGAGGGGGAACCCAGGTTATGCGGCTTTGCTTGGGGTTAAGGGTCTTGAAAAGAGCTAGGTTCTGGATATTAAATGGTAAGTGAGTAAGGGAACTGGAATTCTGTGATACAGAGAAAGCAGGAATTCAATACTTCAATCAACTCATGCTTCTGTTTTTAAAAATTCCAGACTAGAAACTGGAACTCACTCTGTAGACCAGGCTGGTCTCGAACTCACAGAGACATGCCTGCCTCTGCCTCCCGAGTGCTGGGATTAAAGGCGTGTGCCACCACTGCCCGGCTGAAAAGAATGTTTTTAAGGCAACAACATTAAAACGTCGTTAGAGTCTATCCTGACCCTATGAAATAATTCATATCAGAGTGACCTGCTTCTTCTGCTTTCACCCCAAAAACATAAGGAGTTAAAGTTTCCATTCTTGTCCTTAGAACAAGGAAAAAGCTGAACAGAAAAATCCACGACCTTCCTGCATCTCCCAGGGAATTCTGGGAGTAAAGCAGGCCTCTCCCCAAGGTCTTGGGAGGCAGGCAAGCATAGAAGACCACACCAAGGAGACAGAAGCTGAGGGAATGCATCATGGCGATGTCACACTTTGCTGAAAGCTGACTATAGGCTGAAACGAGAATATGAGTCTGGAGAGTTACGGCCCTGCCCAGAAGGGGCATGTTCGTGGTTCAGGAACTCCGCTGGGTTCTCCTAGGATCCCTTCTCACTTAGACTACTGTTAGAAGGCTGCAAGAAGGACAAGGTAGAGTTCATGGGAAGCTGAGGACACAGAGGAGACAACAGCAAGGACACAAGTGGGGCTGCACTCCTTTGGCAACGATAGCTTTGTAGCCACTAAACCCAACCCAGCCCCTGCCTGGGTGAACACAGAAGACGCAGCCCCTGCCTGGGTGAACACAGAAGACGCAGCCCCTGCCTGGGTGAACACAGAAGACGCAGCCTGTCTGTGCTAGGTCATGTGCTGGACACACCAGGCTCATTTTGAACAGATCACAAGATAAGGAAGAAATGCTCGGCTTAAAAAGACAAAGCTTCCCAAATGGACTCAGAGGAGACACAGATTTTAGAATTGCCAGAGGGAATTTTAAAGGGAAACTGTAAGAAAGGCTCAGGAGAAATTCTGGAAATGAGAAACACTGTAACAGAAACAGGCCCAAAGACCTGAGTTTGATCCTCAAGGCCCACATGGTGGAAAGAGAGAACCAGTAATTCCTGTCAGTTTTTCTCTGACCTCCATCCATACACTATAGCATGTACACACACACACACACACACACACACACACACACACACACACACACACACACACACACACGAGAGAGGGGGGGGGGTTAAATAAATAAACAAATAAATGTAATTTTTTTAAAAAAGAAGTAGCATAACAATGAAAAAAATAACATCATTTGATTGCGGACTTAGCTTTTTAAAGTCCAGAGCAATTACTAAAGCGAATTTTAAAAGCTATTTATTTATTTGTTATTTTATGTGCATGGGAGTTTCACCTACACACATATCTGTGTCCCTCATATATGCAGTGCATAAGGACGCTACAGGAGGGTGTCAGATTCCCCCGGGACTGGAGTTAACAGACAGCCATTAGCTACCCGTGGGTGCTGGGAATCAAACCCAGGTCCACTGAAAGAGTAGCCAGTGCTTTCAGTCTCTGTATTATCTCTCTAGAGGTATAATTAATATGCAAATAGATGAGCTAAGATGAAATCACATAAAGTGTTCAGTTACAGTGAGAGGAGACAGAAAAGTGTGTGGGGGGGTGGGGAGGGCCAAGTACCACGTGCAACAGACACAAAAGTTAAACCCTCGCGGATAATAACCCAGCTACATCTATAAACAGTCTAAACGTGAATTGTCTAAATCTACCACAGAAGTTGTTGGAACAAGCTACAAATAAAACTCAACTACCTGACGCATACAAATGGCTCATTTAAATACAGAGTCCGGTTAAGTGCAGAGGGGCGGAGAGAAATTATGCTAACGTCAATTCAAAGAAAGTCCGACGACTCGCTGTATTAGCTTCCTACAAAGCTAATTGAAGATGGAGATTTCCAAGGATAAGAGATGAGTTACATGGTGATAATGTGGCAAACTAATAATACGTATTCTCTAACAGGTGCCCCGTCAACAAAGGTATCAAGAGACCTGGGGCAAAAACTAATTGAAACACAAGGAAAGGCAGACAAATCCATCATTACGGCTGGAAACTTCACCATCCATCTTCCAGACACTCACACACCATGCGAGCAGAAATCCAGACTCGGTGGACCCGGACAGTATCAACTCGCCTACCTGTACATGGCTCCATTCTCCTGAAACCCACATGGAGCACACACACTGAAACAGACTACACAGTTTGATCTTTAAAGCCGTAACCATACAAAGTGTTTTCTTGGGCCACTTAGGACTTGAACTCAAACCCAACAACCCCTTCCCTGCAAAAAGCAAAACCAAAAGCCAGGAACAGAAAGGCTGTTTGGGAAATCTTCAAAATTTTGGAGATTACGTGTAAATGCCATAGGGACCAAATGAGAGGTCTTAAAAGGTATTTGCAGGGGATGGAAACAAACAACGTTAACGGACTAGAGTGGAGAGCAGGGTTGAGGGAGAAATTCCTAGTGCTGGAAACACATGGAAGGGGAGATCCAAAGCCAACAACGGAGGCTTTATGAAACGAGAGTGGGAAGGAACACACCCCTGACCCAGGGCAAGCAGGAGCAACGGCATCTAAAACAGGGGCCA